GTGGTGAGTAAGGTATAGGAAGACTGGAGACATAGGAGAGGGCTCTAGCCCTCTATGAAGGGCTTTGAATGCCAAACAGGTCATTTTGTATTTGATCCTAGATACTAGAGTTTATTGAGTGGGGAGGGATATGGTCAGACCTGAGTTTCAGGAAAATCACTTGCATGGGTAAATGGAGGATGGACTGGAGTGGAGAGAGACTTGAGGCAAGCAGACCCACCAGCAGGCTATTGCAACAGTCCAGGACTAAGGTGATAAAGGCCTTCACTAAAGAGGTGGTGGGGTCAGAGGAAAGAAGGAGACATATTCAAAAGATGTTGCAGAGGTAAAATTGATAGGCCTTGTCAATAGATTGGATATGGACGGTGAGAGATAGTAAGGAGTCAAGGATAACACCCTAGGTTGCAAGCCTGAGAGAGGGAGAGGATAGTGTTGCCCTCTAGGGTTATATGAAAGGTAGGAGGAGTGAAGGGTTTAGGGGCAGATAATGAGTTCTATCTTGGATATTTTTAGCTTAAGATATCTACTGAACATCTACTTTGAGATGTCTGTAAGGCAGCTGAAGATGCTGGACAGAGGAAGTCAGTCAGTGAAGAGATTAGGGCAGAATAGGTAGATTTGAGAATCATCAGCATAGAGATGGTAATTAAATCCATGGAAACTGATGAGCTCAACAAGTGAAGTGGTGTAAAGGGAGAGAGAAGAGGGCCCAAGACAGAATCTCTTGGGACACCTGTGCATAGAGGGTATACTTTAGATGAAGATCCAGCAAAAGGAGCAGAGAAGTAGTGATCACATAGGTAGAAGGAAAACTAGGAAAGAGTGGTATCCCAGAGGAGATCCTGAAGCCCAGGTGTGGAGCAGGCAAACACCAACACCTGGACCTCTGAGTGCCTCATTGAGAGCAGGGGAACTGGTGGAAACCAGCTCAGAAAACCACCAGGTGCCTTGGTATTCTACAGCAACCAGCTCTCCCAGTGCCTCAGCAAAACTAAGGGAAGCAGTGCTCCAAGGCGCCCCAGGTGGATAAACACCTTACAACATCCATCTGAAAGGAGCTGAAGAAAGCCAAAGGAAGGAAAGGTCTGGGTGAGCAGGAAATCTCCAGGAGCCACACTACCCAATTCTCCCCCTAGAGTTCCAGTGTTGCTGATTCCAGCCCAATACCAGGTAAACTGCCAGAATCCTACAGCCTCCAATTGCCAACATTGGAGGCCCCAGCACACAAAGCCATCGGCCAGGCCCTAGGCTCCCAACACAAGAAGTTTGGGTCAGTGCCCTCTGCTCCACAGCAGGACAGATCAATCTCTTTAAAGGCCAGGAAATAAGCAAACACCATGAACAAAAAGAAACGTATGATAGATTGTTATTATGGGAAGAGGCAGAAATTCTGAAGAGGACAACATTGTCAACAAATCCACATCTGGAACCTCAAAAGGGAATATGAACTGGTCTGAAGCCCAAAAAGCCTTCTTAGAAGTACTCAAGAAGGATTTTAAAAGTTAAATGAGAGAGGTAGAAGAAAAAATGGGAAAAGACATGAGAGGTATGCAAGAGAGAGTCAATAGCTTAGAAAAGGAAGGATGAAAATTAACTATAGAAAACAAGTCCTTAAAATATGCAATTGGCCAACTGGAAAAAAAGTACATTGTAGAAAACAAGTCCCTAAAAAATACAATTGGCCAAATGGGGAAGGAGGTACAAAATCTAATAGAAGAAAACAATTTGTTAAAAATTAGAATTGGGGGCAGTTAGGTGGTACAGTGGATAGAGCACCGGCCCTGGATTCAGGAGGACCTGAGTTCAAATCTGGCCTCGGACACATAACACTTCCTAGCTATGGGACCCTGGGCAAGTCACTTAACCCCATTGCCTAGCCAAAACAAAAAATAAATAAATAAATAAACAAACAAATAAATAAATAAATAAAAATTTAGAATTGGGCAAATAGAAGCTAATGACTCTATGAGAGAGCAAGAATCAGTCAAACAGAAAAAAAAGAATGAAAAAATAGATGAAAATGTAAAATATCTCATTTGTAAAACAACTGACCTGGAAAATCATCCAGGAGAGACAATTTTAAAATTATTGGTCTACCTGAACATCATGATAAAAAAAGAGCCTGGACAATATCTTTCAGGAAATCATAAAGGAAAACTGCCCTGAGGTCCTAGAATCAGAGGGTAAAATAGCCATAAAAAGAATCCACCAATCACCTCCTGAAAGAGATCTCAAACTGCAAACACCAAGGAATATAGTAGCCAAATTCCAAAATTACCAGGTCAAAGAGAAAATATTGCAAGCAGCCAGAAAGTAACAATTTAAATAGCATGGAACCACAGTCAGGATTACACAGGACCTTGCAGCTTCTATATTAAAAGACCACAGGGTGTGGAATATGATATTCCATAAGGCAAAGGAGCTTGGATGACAACCAAGGATCAACTACCCAGCGAAAATGAGTGTGATCTTTCAGGGGAGGAGATGGATATTCAACGAAATAGGGGACTTCCATACCTTCCTGATAAAAAGACCAGAGCTCAACAGAAAATCTGATCTTCAAATACAAGACTCAAGAGAGACATAAAAAGGTAAACAGGACAGAAAGAAACAACATGTTATTAATGAGGGCAAACTGTTTACATCTCTACAAGGGAAGATGACACTTGTAACTCTTAGAACTGTATTGTTATTATACCATGTTAAAGGAGTATATATAAAGGGGGTAGGTATAAATTGACTTTGATGTAATGATGAAAAAAATCTAATCAAGTGGGTTAAATGGATCCAAGTAAGTGGATTAATCTGATCTAAGAAAATGTACTGAGAGAAAAGGAAAGGAGGAGGTAGACAAGGGTTAATTACATCACAAGAAAAGGCACAAAAACCCATTATAGCAGAGGGAAAGAAGGGATGGAGATGAGCATTGTTTGAACTTAGTCTCATCAGATTTGGCTCAAGAAGGGAATAACATAATCAATTAGGTATAGAAATCTAACATGCCCTATAGGCAGTAGGAGGGAAAAAGAGAAAGAAAAGGGAAGGGGCTAATAGAAGGGAGGTAGGACTGAGGGAGGTGGTTGTCAAAAGCAAAACACCAGTGAGGAGGGAAAAGGAGAAAGAAACTGGGGTGGGGGCAGGGGAAGGATGGAGTGAAAGACACAGACAGTAATTGTAATTGTGAATGTGGTATATGAATGTAATGGAATACTATTGTGCTACAAGAAATGATCAACAGGCAGACTTCAGATAAACCTGAAGACTTGTTATGATTTGAAGCTGAGTGAAGTGAACAGAACCAGGAGAACTTTGTACACAGTAACTGCCCCATTAAGTGATGACTGACTTTGATAGACTTAACGCCTCTCAGCAATACAAGGGTCTAAGACATCTCCAAAGGCCTCATGATGGAAAATGCCATCCACATCCAAAGAAAGAACTATGGAGTTTGAATGCAGATCGAAGCATACTATGTGCTATTTTTTTTTTCTTCTGTTGTGTTTTGTTTCCTCTTTCTGGCGGCTCCTTCTATTAGTTCTAATTCTTACTTGCAACATCACTAATGTGAAAATATGTTTAATAGGAATGTATATGTATAGCCTATATTAGATTGATCGCCGTCTTGGGGAGGGAGGTAGGGAGGGAGGGGGAGAAAAATTTAAAACTCAAAAGCTTATGGAAGTGATTGTTGATAAATCAAAATAATAAATTTTTTAAAAAAGAGTGGTATCCCAAAAAAGCTAGAGAGAAGGTGATCAACAGCTAATCTGATAAGTATGAAGTGATACCTCAGAATTGTTTTAATTTGCATGTCTCTAATTATTAGTGATTTAGAGCATTTTTCATATGACTATTGATAGCTTTGATTTTCTTCTGAAAACTGCCTGTTCCTATCCTTTGACCATTTATCAATTGGGGAATGGTTCTTATTTTGACAAATTTGGCCCAGTTCCCTATTTATTTGGAAAATGAAGCCTTTATCAGAGAAAATGCTGTAAAAATTTCCCCCTAGTTCCATGTTTTCCTTCTAATTTTCACTGCATTGGTTTTATTTGTGCAAAACCTCTTTAATTTAGTGTGACTTTGTGACCTTTTTTCATCATTTTCCTCAAGATTATTAACCTTTTGTTCCTCCTGATAAATTTTTTTATCTTTTGCTCTTCTTTGTATTTCCAGTGAAAAAAGGTCACAAGGAAGGAAGCCTTCACATAAGGAAGTACCAGATATCAAACTATACTACAAAGCGGTGATCATCAAAAATATTTTATCTGATAATACTGGCATTTGATTTAAATAAATTTTTTAAAAGAATAGTTATTATGAGCAGTAGAACAGTACACTACATATAGAAGCAAATGATCATAGTAGATCTATGGTCTCAAAAGATCCCTACAACTATGGTAGGGGATCACTATTTGAAAAAAAACTGCTGGGAAAACTAGAAACTATTATGGTCAAATTGTGCTTGATCAAGGTTTGAATAATTAATAAACATGAATTGTAGACTGAATGAAGTTTTACTCTATTTCCTGGAACACTCCTCAAGCAAAATTATGTACTTAACTTTTCATTTCTGCCTTTTTTATTAAAGTTCACATTTAATATAAATCCCCCCAAAATCATTTCCAGACACGGACAAACCAGTCCTTTTGTGGAGATGGAGGACAACATAAACACATGGTCGAGAGGGCCCTACTGTGAACCCTTGCCTTTCCTCTCATGCCTGGATGACCTCAGCTGACACTTTACTTTTGACAGCTTTAGTGCCCTCATATATAAAATAAGCGGGACTGGACTAGATCATCTTTAGTAGCCAACTCTAAATCTATAATTTTTTTTCCTTTAAAGGCTAATTATAATGTCACGAACCATTCACCACACTTGTCCATGTCACTGAAGTTTTTCTCTGTGTCTTGTCTGTTGTCTGATTTAGATAGAAATTTCATAGACATTATACGCCTAAAACATTATTGGTGCTCATTAAATATGAAGTGACTTACAAATACTGGAGGGACAGCAAGCCTTCAAAGGAATTCTTGTGTAGTTTGTGCAAAGCATTATCCTTGAGATTTCTGGAAAATGAAGAGGTTATCTTTGGGGGCAAATATCAAATTAGGACAGCAATTTGTTCAATGAGAGCTGCTTCCTTTCTGAAAGGCAGCTACCAGAAAAGAGTGATTGTCATCCTGACTTTTATCTCTCCCCATCTTGTTGTTCTAAGTTAAATACAGTTAACTCTCATGTTTGAATTTTTATTCAACCTTACTTGTATCTTTCTAGGTATGTCTCCCAGAGCTCTCTTCTCCCAAAACCACTTTATTTAATTCTCACTTCCCATTAATGGAGCTAAGGAATACCATTCTCTTTAGCAGTTATGCCTGTTACAAATATATATGGATTCTATTTGAAGTTCTCAAGCAGAAATGGTAGCTCATTAGGGACAGCAACTGAAGCCAATGTGTTGGTGGCATTAAAGAGAAATACCATTTCCACACTCATTAGCTGGTAGTAAACCTTATGATATACTTTCCTAGCTTGACCTAGGTAAGCTCAGCCCTCATTAGCTGCATTTACAAGCCATCTTCCTGCTGCTATACCTATTGCCATTCTTTTCCTTTTACTTCAGAACTAAAGAATAGGTCTGCAGAGAAGCAGGTAGCGATAGCAGAAATTATAACCTTGCTTTTTCTAGTCCTTCTAAGACTCAAGATATCTCTGACCTAGATAATGTTTTCAAATTTCAACAAAGACCAAGTATGAACTAGGAAAATAAGAAGCTACAACAGAATAATCCTAAAAGGAGGAACTTGAACTAAAGCTAATTGTGGAAACAAAAACTACAGTGAACTACACTGATCTGTTGAGCCTCAAATACTATTTTAACCCGTAAAATTAATAAAAATTTAAAAATATATATATAGGTGGTACAGTGGATAGAGCACCAGGCCTGGAGTTAGGAAGACCTGAGTTCAAACCTGGCCTCAGACACTTACTAGCTGTGTGACACTGGGTAAGTCACTTCACTCTGTTTGCCTCAGTTTCCTCATCTGTAAAATGAGCCAGAGAAGGAAATGGCAAACCACTCCAGTACCTTTGCCAAGAAAACCCTGAATGGAGTCAAGAAGAGCTGGACACAACTGAAAAGACTGAAAAACAGTAAATAACAAACTAGCTTGAGCCAGAACCAAGTCTACATACTTTCTAAAACTGCTTAAAAGAAAAACACATGAAGTAAATATTCCCTAAACCAGAACTGAACTAACATTTCACTTTGTTGTTATGTTGGTGGCCTAGAGGAAAAAGCATTGGCTCTGAAGTCTGAAAACCTGAATTTGAATCTCAGCACTGCTAATTAACTAGCTGAATGAGCTTAGGCAACTCCATTCAATTCTCTGGCCTTTGCTCTTTTCCTCATTTGTAAAATGAGAGGTAGAATTGGAGTATTTCTTAGGTTTCTTTCAGCTTTAAATCTTTTATGGTTCTATGGCCAAAATCTCTTTCTTCTACCTCACTATCCAATCAGTTGCCAAGCACATTTGATTCTGTCTCCTTAACATCTCTTGCATTAGCCTTCTCTTCTCCACTAACGAGCCAACTGGCTTCATCACCTCTTGTCCTGGATTATTGTAATAGTTTCCTGATTTATCTCCCTGCCTCCAGCCTCTCTCCTCTCTAATCCATCCTTCACACAGCTGTCAAAATGATCTTCCTAATCCACAGATTGAAGCTACCACTGCCTTTGGGGCTCCCTCGCTGTGTATAGGATAAACTTAAACTCTTCGGTGTCATATTTAAGGCCCTCCATAATTTGATTCCAACAGGTTTTTCTAGCTTTATTTCAAACTATTCCCCTTCATGCCCATTCTATTCCAGCCAGCTGGACTTCTCGATGATGTTTTTTGATCTTTTCCTGTCGTCTCCATGCATTTGCGTGGCCTGTCCCTATTATTTACAGCATAATTCTCTCTTCCTCTGAGGCACAGTTCAGGTAGTCTCTCCTCCATGAAATCTTTCCTGAAGGTTCCTCACTCTTTAATATTATTTTTAATATGTATTTGTTTCTCTCTGATTTTCCTCTCTAACATTTTTGTGACCATCAAGATGATATTGAAATCCTTAATAGGCTTCTGCTGTGGGACATTTAAACTATATGTATACATACATGCACACATATACACCAACATGCACATATATATACACACACACGTATATATGTCCCCATTTGAGGTTTTCTTGGCAAAGATACTGGAGTGGTTTGCCATTTCCTTCTCTAGCTCATTTTATAGATGAGGAAACTGAGGCAAACAGGGTGAAGCTATTTGCCCAGGATCACACCAGTTAGTGTCTGAAGCCAGATTTGAATTCAGGAAGGGTCTTCCTGACTCCAGACCCAGCATTCTATCTCCTGTGCCGCCTAGCTGCCTCATATACATATATCTACATATATATATATATATATATATATGTATCTATCTAAATTTTTTTTACACACACACACACACACTCTAGTATCCAAGTGAATATCAATCTTATCAATTTAATACAAGGGGAAGCTAAATAAGTATAGTTGAGTCATATGCCCTTTTTTTAGGTGGTTATGACTTTTTATTTTAATCAAATTACTGTATTGACTTATTTTTTCATTTTAATCACCACCTTCTTGATTAAATTAGCTGAATTGCTGTTACGACACATAAATCAGCTTGAACAAAACTTTAAAGGAAAAAAAGTGCTGATTGTGTTTCAACCATTTTCCCTTCTCCCATAATTTGTATACATAGAATTCATAGTCTAAATGCAACCCATGTGATAGATTTTACAATTTTATTCCGACAGAAAGTGACCATTAATTCAAAACTGATTTGGATCAAGAGGAAAATCTGCTTCTCAGAGATTCTAAACTCAATCCTACAGATCAAAATTGATTTCAAAATGTGGTTAGCTCTCCCCACTTGCCTGATAAAATTGTACTTACAGAGTCTTAGCCCAAGGGTATGACTTCCAGATACCTTTCTCAATGATAGAAATAGAGTTCCCATGGAAATCTCTGTGAAAAGATACAGTTCATGTCACTAAATAAAAATGACTACAGTCATGAAATTCTCATAGAAAATATTTCAACTAAAAAACCCATGATAATAATTTCTAGCTCTTAGTTTTCAACTTAGCAATTAATGCAAGGAAATTGGTAAAAAAAAAAAAATTAACACAATCCAGAGGCTAAGTGACAAAGAGAGATAAGGCCATTTCCAGAAAAAATGCTCCCTGTTCCTTTTCCTATTTCTTCTTTTCCTCTTCTGATCCCTTATAGTATATTACTTGTACCTAACCCATGAAGTTATAGTCTATTTTATTTTATAGTTGTCTTTCAATGTCACATCTTGTTGACTAAATCATAAATTACTTGAAGGCAGGGACCAAGTCTTACTTATTTTTATCTCAAGTGTCTTTGTACACAATAAGTACTTAATAAATTTTTGTTAATCAATCAATATTATCAAGCATGTATGAAATCACAATATGACAGACAATATCAAAATTTTGGATGGGTACCTTTTGGGGAATCTTTTCATACACATTAGTTTGGTAGGGTCTAGGGACAACTGGAGGTTAAAGGAATGGTGAAAAAGGTGGGAACTGATGGGGAAAGTTGCACGCAAACAGATTTCTATGGCTCTAGGATACCCCTGTTGAGGCTCTTCCTCTTCTAAATGGAATTTGTTTATATTACATTGTATTACATACAAACTAGGGGCAACTGGGGTGGGGGGAAGGGGAGAGATGGGAATCAGCATGTTCCAAATGAATTTCAGTTGCCCCACAAACAACTACAAAGGAACTGATTGATGGACAACTAAACAATCTCTTACATAATGAAAAAGATACAGCATGAGAAAACCCCCATAAATGATAAGATGCCAAGAGGCTTCAAACTTCGTATTTATTAAACACCTACTATATATCGAACACTGTGCTGGGTGCTGGGAAAGATACAAAAATTAAACAAGATACAACTTCTGCTCTCAAAGAGCTCACAATCAAGGGGTGGGTAAGATACATTAAAAAAATAACCATGACTCAAAAGGCCCAAACCTTTTAGACTAGTTTCTGACTCAGGATGCTTTAGAAACAGGTAAGGTAGGCCACTGAAGTACCAAAAACCAGTGCTTGGAAAACAGTTGCTTCTGTTTCATTTTCCCTCTTTCTATTCAATTACAAAGGATAATTAATTCCCCAGATCCAGTCCTCTCACCCACTGTGCTCTTTTCTATACTCTGCCTCACAAAATGTATTCACACCACTTCAAATACTTCCTCGATCCCAAATCTCTCAGTTCCTGGCTTCAACCCTGAAAAACCCCATATCTCTTAACTACCTAATAATGCACATTTTCACTTGGATGTCACATCACTCAAACTCAACGTATAAAAACCAGATCCATTTTCTGTTCTTGACATGGACTGTCTCCCTATTATTTCTGCCAAGGATACCATAACTCTTCCATTCAATATGAAAAATCTTCATGTAATCTGTTATTTTCCCCTGGTCATTTCCCCCCTCTTCAATAGTATCCTCAGTCCATTCATTCACAAAACCCAGAATTAGGATGCTACTGCAATGATTCAGCCTGAAAGAAGATGGGAATGGAAATGAAAAAAGATATATTTCAGAAATTTTTAAAGGAATTATTTAAATAGAACTTAATAACTTTTTGAATATGAGGATAGGAAAAAAATCAAAGATAATTAATTGCCTCCTATTTTCCATACCATTTATTTCATACTGTCTGGTGTTACAAACAGCTGTCTGGTTGCATTCCCTGCCTCACCTTTCCATACTTTGGTTCATCCTTTCTGCTCAGCCATCAAATTGATCTTTAAGTACAGGTCAACTATATTGTCTCCTTATTAATGAACTTCATTGGTTCCTTATCACCTTCAGGATCAAATAAAGGTCTTCTGGAGAGTAAAGCTATTCATAATCTGGCCCCTTCCTACCTTTCCAGTCTTCTTATAGCATTTATTCCTCTACATCTTCCCCCCCCCAACACTTTGCACATGAAACCTCCCTACTCTAGACATTTTTATTGGCTCTCCTCTGTGCTTAGAATTATCTCCCTCCTGTCTGTCTTCTGGTTTCCTTCAAGTCCCAACTAAAATCCCAACCTGCAAAACGTTCTTCCTAATTCCTCTTAATTTCAGTGCCCTCCCTTTGTTAATTATCTCTAATTTAGCCTGTATATCTTGTTTTCAAAAAGCCTTTTGCATATCATATCTTCTTTAGATTGTGAGCTCCTTTTGGCCTTTCTTTGCATCCTCAATATTTAGCACAATATCTGACACATAGTAGGCACTTAATAAAAAATAGTGGATAGAGTGCTAGACCTAGAGTTAGAAAGACTTGAGTTCAAATGTAGACTCAGAAACTTAATAGCTGTGTGATCTTGGGTGTTATCTGTTTGCCTCAGTATCCTCAACTGTAAAATGGGAATAATAGCACTTACATCACAGGATCGTTGAGAGGATCAAATGAGATGTTTGTAAAGGGCTTAGCAGTGTCTGGCACAAAGTGTGGACTTAATAAATGCTTACTGACTTGTCTGGATTGTATTGTTATTTAACTTTTATGTATGTTGTATTTTCCCAACTATTCCTGTAGGTTTCTCCTTCCCCATCCTGTCTTATATTTGTCTGTATCCCTCACAGTACTTAGCACCTATCGGTAAATAATTGTGAATGATAGGAGCCACAGGGTAATGTAATTGTTGAGCCAAGCAGGTACAGAGATGAAGTCTGAATACAATGAATGAGTAGAGTTTGAAGTAAATTGTGTGAGAGAGAAAAACAGACCTGTGGAAAGGAATAAGAAAAATAAATGGGGGAAGGGGGGGAGAACAGCTAGGTGGTGAAGTGGATAGAGCACCGGCCCTGAAGTCAGGAGGACCTGACACTTGACACTAGCTGTGTGACCCTGGGTAAGTCACTTAACCCCAATTGCCTAAAAAAAAAAAAGGAAAAAAAGAAAAATAATATGGATAAGATGGTAGTTTACCATATGAGGAAGAAAGAGATGAAAAAAGTTAAAGGAGAAACAGAAGCACAGGTAAGGCAACAGAACAGAAGAAATGGGTAAAGGAGAAGAGTGGGGATGAAGAGAAGTTTTGCGAATGAGAGGAATGTGATGAAAATGGGATGGGGATGGGGCAGGTGGGAAGAGTTAAGAAAACTACAGTGTGTTTGTTGTACTGGGCAGAACAGGCCTCACAGGAAAAAGAAGGTGAGGTTGTGGGCCTTGGGTCCTGGCAATGGCACACTATGCAGGCGGAGGTCCGGACTGAGGCCAGTACAGGAGAGAGTTCCAGCTTTGCAAGTGCAGGGGCCCAAGCAGACAGAGTCGATTTCCCAGATGCTCTTCTGTGACACTAAAGATGATGGTATTGTAGTATGAACCTTTAAGACTGAAGGCCATGGAAAAGTGTTGTTTAGAAGCATAGTTGGAGTCTGGCTTGACTTAGAAGACAAAACTGAAACTGGAACCTGCTTTAGCTCTTGAGGTGAAACCAAGTCTTTGGTCAACTCTGGGGATGGAGAATAAAGCTTTGTTGACTCTGGAGGTGGAGGAAGAGTCCAAGGCAGTATCTCCCCTGAAGTTAGAAACTGATATTGTTCCTGAGGTACAGGAGGTGGGGCTAGAGTTTGGGTGGGCACTAGGGCCTGAAGAAGTTGGTTTGGAGCTTCACCAGAGACAAGTGACAGAGGCAGAGTCTGAGGTAATTGCAGAAGAGGGGGTGGAATTTGAGTATGCTTCAGGGTTGGAGCTAGAGTCGGAGATGATGCTGGAGTTTGAGCAGGCATTGCAGTGTGCATCACATGTACAGCTGAAGTCTGAAATGGCTTGAAAACTTGCGTGGGTATCATGTTCACAGCTAGATTATAAGGCAATACTGGAAACAGAGTTGGAGTTGCTGGTGAGTGCTTCGTGGGTGTAGCCTGAGGCAGAAATGATACTGAAGTTTGCACAGGTTCTAAGGATGGATGGAGAATCTGAATCAACTGGGAAGTCTGAGTTGGCCGCAAAGACTCACTTAGAAACTCAGGTGATGATGTTAAGGTTTGGGTGGGCACAAGGGATGAAACCGGAAAGGACATTAGAGTTTGAGCTGGCACCAAGGAGGCAGCTAGTGTTCGGGTTGATTTTGACGCTTTGGCTCCCTCTAAGGATGTAGCAGGTATTTGAGAAGATACCAGAATTTGAGACAACGTAGAAGTTAGAGTTGGCACCAAGGATGCAGCTGATGCTTGAGGTGCTGTAGGAGCTGGGGCTGGCACCAAAGCTGATGTTCGAGGTACTAATGGGGCTGGGGCAGGCACCGAGGAGGACAGAGGCCAAGTCTGAGACGCTGTTAAAGCTGACAGCGGCATTAAGATCGCCGGCGGTCGGGTCTGAAACAATTCTGAAGGCAGGATGGGCGCCCTAGTGGCCGCCACAGGAGTTAACACGAGACTCTTCACTCTCTTAACTAGGTAGATCGGAGTTGGCTCTGTATCTGGAGTGGGGGTAGGCTTGGGAGACGCAAGAACGTCAGAGACTTTCAGGAGCACGGCCAAAGCACGGGCCAGAACCGGGGCCTTAGTAAACACTTCGCCCAGGTCCAGAACCGAAGCTCGAACAGAGGCTGGATCCGGAGGCACCGCCTGCGCCCGGGCCATAACCCCGGGCTGAGCCCCGCGGCCGCTCCTCTCCCCAATCGCCCCAGGTAATTGGCGCAGAGAGAGGAAACCGAGCCGCCAGAGCCAGCAAGGGCAACGCAAAGAGCCAGAGCCGGAACAGGAGCCGCCCCGACATGCGGAGGCTCTATTGTTGCAGCCCACCCAGGCCAAGGGGCCTTTTTCTAGCCAGGGAGCCAACCGACCACCTTTAGAGAGCCTCCTCCGTTGCCCAGCAACGGCTTCGTCCCGCCCCACAAACCCCGCCTCCAGCCGAACTCCGAGGAAATCCTTAATCTTTTATTTAATCGATGAGGGCAGGGTAGAGGGTGGAGAGGGTGGCAGCTACAAAGTGCAGGGTCAAGCCTTGTCCTTGGCACACATTCCTAGGAAGAGCGGTAGGGGAGTTTCCACGCCCCAAATGCCCCACTTCAGTGGAGGTACAGGTCAGCTTCAGTCCTCCTCTCAAAGGAAGGGCGGCAACCTTGCCCCCTCTCCCACACCTCTCTAAAAAAACCCAAACAGGCACAAGTTCTGTACCTCGGCCCATCTCTCCCGCCCCCTTCGGCTTCATCCTGCTGCCCCGATGACAGGATGGACTAGGATGCAAGTGTCAGGGAACAGAAACCCATCCATGCCTGGGTGAAACCCCACGGTGTGTCGGTGTGTCGGGGGTGTGCTCTGTCCAGCAGGGTCAGGGGAGGGCAAGTCTGCTTCTAGCTGCGATTTGATCACTCTTCATCCAGGCTGAAATCAGAGAGGCATTCTTCTTCCCCTTGGTAGGACTGATTCCAAGAAACATCACTGACCTTAATGAAAAAAGAGAGTGATATTGAAAGTGTAAGTAGATAGGATCACAGATCCAGAGCTGATCTGGGGCTTAACGGCCATCTAGGCCTGTCCCTTTGTTTTACAGGTGAGAAAACTGAGACCTAGCGCATTTGTCACACAGATGGCAGGGTCAGAACCTGAATTCTGGTCCTTTAGGTTCAGAGCACTTACTACCATATCATATAGGTTTAGGGAGGGGTAAAGGTATAGGTATACATATACATATACATATACATATATATATATATATATATATATATATACCTACCGGCCACACGTGGCTTCGAGGTCACAGGTTCCCTACCCCTGTACTAGGATATACCAGTAATGTAGAGATGGGACCTCTAAAAATTTCAGCACTAATATAAGCACAGTAAAGCATAGCTTTCTTTTCTACTTTTTTTAAATTAATAATATGTGGGAGTTTTCTAGGTTACTGTTTTATATAATTAAAATCCTAGAGTTGGAAGGACCCTAAAAGTCACATCTTGGACTAGTAGATGAAATCCCTGCTTCGATAACTTTAGAATTTGATTATCCAGTCCCTGGCCCAAACATTTGTGATAAGAAACTCCTCACTATCTCACTGCTGTCCAGAAATGGCCATTTTAAAAATAATTTTATTACATATCATTCTAAAACCCATATATTTAGTATTAAGCATGGTATTTACTGTCAATGTTAAATCTCTTTTTCCTCAGAATTTCAGTGCAAATTATCCTCATTATGCTCCAGTCTCTGTTGAAATCTAAAGTCTTGGTGATTGGCCATATTTGTGCTGAATTAAAAACAAATTTACTCTACGTGGCAACATTTTTCAAGCATCAAAAAAGTGAAAAATAAAAATGAACAAAACAACTCAGCTACCTCACCCAGCTTCTCCCCTCCAAAACGTGTTACACCTCTGGGAAATGATAAAATTAAACTCCCAAATAGTTCCCCAAAAGGATACTAAGAACAAATTTTGTGTGGGTGAGTGAGAGAGAGAGAGAGAGAGAGAGAGAGAGAGAGAGAGAGAGAGAGAGAGAGAGAGAGAGAGAGAGAGAGAGATGTGTGTGTGGTGTGTGTGTGTGTGTGTGTGTGTGTGTGTGTGTGTGTGTGTGTGTGTTGGACAGAGAGCTGGCCTCAGAGTCAGGAAGACTGAGGGTAAAGTCCTGTCTCTGATACAAACTGGCTGTGTGACCCGAACCCTCGAGGCATTTGACCTCTCAGTGGCCCAGGAAATTTTCTAACATTATAAATTTTAGAGAAAGGGTCTGACTTGCAATGGTAGAGGGAACTTTCTCCCTAGGCTCTTTTATCTTGTGAACTCATAGTCTTTTGTGTTGCCTCCCTGACAAACCAACCAAGCAGCCCACAACCCACATCCAAACAGGGCCAGAAGGATTGTCTCCCCGGTAACTGAAAGCCTGTTATGGATCCCTAGAAGTTCGGCATTATGAGACATAATTCAGATGACAGTACTACTCTTTTCCAGGGAAGAAAATGATTCTTCATTTATACCTCCAACTGTAGGAACACTATAAACTACCCCTATCTTGTACCCTGAACTGAAGTGAACTTCTGGAGAAACTTCAGGTGGGATCCTCAGGATGAGGAGAAGCCCCTCTGACTGCAGGTCTCCTGGGAAGCTGTGTGTGGAGGGCTCAAGGATTCAGAGTTAGGGAATCAGCTGTCCTTCATTCTGTGGGTCTGGGCTACAGGACAAGCAACATTTCCTAGAATTCTAAAGCAGTTCTAAAGTTAGGATTATAAATCTGGGACCCCTTCCTCTGCCTCCTTCTCCTCCCCCCACTGCCGCAGGCCTCCCTTCCTCCCCGATGCCACAAGTCCCCACCTCCCCACTTCAGATGAAAGAGTAATTTGGAACTCAGCCAGCCTGCATTTTCACATACTTGAACCAAGTCCTTGAATTCTTCTGCTGCAGAATCTCCTTCAGTGGGTCTGTATTCCACAGCCACTTTACCACTCTCTGAAATATAGTTAAAAGGGTTCAAGTCAGAATTATCAAGACAATATAAATTACTCCTCCTTCCCCAGTCTCCTCAGTGTAACATACAACAGTTGGGCAATAAGCATCTTTAATTTCTAAAAATAAAAAGTATAGGGCTTTTCCTTTAAAAGTATATTCAGTCTTATCACCATCATCTAAATTCCTGTGCTAGGTGCTGTACAAAGAACTAGCCTGGTGACAGATGTAGGGACAGACTGTGAAGGAGAGAACTTGGAGCAAACACATTTTTCTTTGAGTTGGTTTTATTGTGCATCAAGAGGAAACATAAAGCAACTTCATGGGATGTTCATGATGGGCCTAAGCAAAAGGATCATTATGAAGATAATTGCCATTTATTCACCAACACCTAATGTAAAGAAGGAGGAAGAAGAGAAATTCTATGAAGAACTTGGTAAGACCCTCTTAATTAAATCAACATACATTTCCACACTTGGCAACTTCAATGCAAAGCAGGCAAATGGTAAAAATGATAAAAAGTGGTTAAAAAAAAAGGTGAAGAATGGTAAAAAATTCATGTTGAAAAATAAGGATTAATAAACCATAGATAAGGTTTCCAGACAATATGGACGTCTTCTATTATACTGAAATATAGTGCTCAGTTCTTTTTACTACATTTTAGGAAGGACATTGATAAGGTGGAGGGGCAGGGTGGTACAATGGGTAAAACCCTGGATTTAAGGTTAAAGGACCTGAATTTGAATCCACTGGGCCTCAGCTACCTCATTCATAAAATAAGAAGGTTGGATTAGGTGGCCTTGCAGGTCCCTTCTAGCTCTAGAGCTGTGGTCAGTCATTCAAAGGAGGGCAATCAGGAGGGTGGAAGACCTTGAGCTCATGCCTTAGGGAATCAAGACTGTTTTGGCTTGGACAAAAGATTATCCAAGGTAGACATGAGAACAGTATTTATATATCTGAAGAACTATCACATGAATTAGACTTTTCTATTTGGCCCTAGAAGTAAGAAATAGGAGGAATTGCTGGAGGCGGTGCTGAGTTTTGAAGTAAAGTAGAAATTACAAGAGGCAGCAGTGAAGAGGAAGTACTTTCCAGACAAGGAGTCTGGAATCCCTGCCAGGACTCATTGAAAGGCCTGGAGATAGAGGTTTGTGTGTAAGGAACAGTATGAAGGCTGGTTTGGTGGGATCAAGAGTGTACGAAAAGGAGCTACATATGATAGCTCGGAAAGTTAGGTTGAAATCAAGTAGCGAAGAGCTTTAAATGTCAAAGAAGAGTCTGTATTTAATCCTTCAAGTAACAAGGAGCTGTTTAATGGTGTTCAGATCAGGGGAGTGACATGGTCAGACATATAGTTTGGGAAAATCATTTGGGCATATGTATGGAGGACTGATTGGTATGAAAAGTGACTTGAGATGGGGAGAGCAAATAGTCCAGGCAAGAGGTGATGAGAACTTAATGTAGGGTGATGACTATGTGAGTGGAAAGAAGTGGATGGATTTGAGAGTTGTAGAAGTAGAATCAATAAGACTTGGTAACTGAATGGATATGGGGGGTGAGTTACAATGAAGAATATGGCTGGACTCCAAGGTGGGTGACTGGAAAGGTGGTGGCATCTAGACAGAAACAGGAACAATCACAAAAGGATAGGTTTGGGTGAAAGACAAAAGTTCTATTTGAGATGCATGTGGGACATTGGTGATGCAGGACTTTAAGTCAGGAGAGAATAAGGCTGGACCCTTCTGCGTGGGAATAACTGAATCTGTGGAAGTTAATGAGGTCACCAAGAATATAAAGAGAAGAAGACCCATGACAGTCTTAGGGTATAACTACAGTTAGGAGGTGTGCTGTGGATGATGATTCAGCAAAAAAGCCTGAGGACTGGGTCACACAAGTAGACAATCAAGAGAAAACAGTGTTATAAAAACTCCAAGAAAACAACTAGGAGAAGAAAGTATAAAATGATGCCAAGAGGTCAGAAGGAAGAGGACTGAGAAAAGGCCAACAGATTTAGTTGTCAAGAGATCTTTGGTAACTCCGGAGAGGAAGATCAGACGCTACAATGCAATGGTATGACAAGTGACTGGAAATGTCAGAAAACTTTGGAGCATGAGCTCTCTCTTTCTTTTCTTTAAGGATAAGAGAGACCCTGGGACTGTCTGTATGCTACAGAGAAGGAATCAGTAGCTAAGTAGAGGTTGAAGATTAGAGAGAAGGGATACTTGTTGGTGCAATCTGCTAATGGCAAATGAAAGTAGATAAAGGGTACATAGAGAAGGATTGGTCTT